TTACATTATGGAAAATAATGACCTTTATCACAATATGCTAATTTTTTTAGAAGGACCTGTACTTGGGGTCCACCGTCCAGGAAAAGGGGGAATGTGGAAAGAAGTGAAAAATAGAGTCCAGGCAGGATGGAGTGGATGGAGAAAATTTTCAGGAGTGATTTGTGACAAAAAGGTGTCAGCAAAGGTCAAAGGAAAAGTTTACAAGACAGTGGTGAGACCAGCTATATTGTATGGTCTGAAGACAGTGGCATTGACAATAAGACAGGAGAAAGAAATGGAAGTGGCAGAAATGAAGATGTTGAGATTCTCCTTAGGAGTGACAAGGCTGGATAAGATTAGGAATAAAATCATCAGAGGTACAGCCCAGGTTGAACAACTGGGAGATAAAGTTAGAGAGGCCTGACTGAGATGGTTTGGACATGTCAAGAGGAGGGACAGTGGGTATACTGGTTGATGGATGTTAGAAATGCAGCTGCCAGGAAAAAAACAAAGAGGAGATGTATGGATGCAGTTAGAGAGGACATGAAGGTAATTGGAGTGAGGACAGAGAATGCAGAGGACAGAGTGCGGTGGAGGAGGATGACTCGCTGTGGAGACCCCTGAAGAGGGAAAAGCCAAAAGAAAAAGAAGAAAGTACGGTATTTTCCGCCGTACACGTTGCTCCGCCCTATAAGTCACATCCGTCCAAATATTTTTAAAGTGGTAAAATTCATAAATACGTCTCTTCACCATATACGTCACATCTATTATGTGTCAACGCAGACACGTTTGTTACACATCACCGCTGACAACCCGGAAATGTGGGCCAGTGTTGTGCCAAAAATCAATTGGCTGCCAAATTGACAGCCTTGGAAGCGTGCACAGGAGGACTTTAACAAGAATTAAACGAGATTAACACTTAAAAAAAAATTATTTGTTTGTTCAAAATTATAGCAAATGTGTGTCTCAGTTAACTTTTCCTTAGAAGAAGTTAAATGGCTATAACTAAATTTCCAAAAACGCCTGAAAATGTATACCCAAATTATATCAGCTGCTGTTCTTGAACCCTTTGGAGCACATGCAAAAGCTTGGTCTCTTTATGAAGATGTCAAGCTATTTTTTTTTTATTTTTGCAGTCAAAAATGCTTTAAATGTGATTAATATGTAGCTATTAAGTTTGCAACACAAAAAAATTTAGAAAATGTTTTCTTCGCCAGAATTTTCATGTTTATTTCTATATAAATACACATTGAAAGTTGAATGTATGGACTGGAAAATACAATAAAACTGTAAATTTAAGTCTTTTTATTGTGTATTTCAAAGTCGATCAAGATAGCGCAGAAAATGACTTTTTTAGTCATGTTTATGTGAGTAGATCTACAGACGTTGTCCAGATGTGCCAACATGAAAGTTGTGAAACCGACTGGATTAGACTTTAACTGGATGTGTATGTGTTGGAAAGTTGACGCTGGAGACTCCTCTGGTGCGTTGAGTCTCACACAAGCTGAACCCATCGCTTCACACTGCCGAGGAACTTTTGGAGCTCTTGTTAAACGATTCATGTGCCTTTAAACCTCATTCAGGTTCAAGAAAGTTTTTTAATTACGTTTTCCTTTTAAATTTGCCTGAAACATTTTAAAACCGATACACCTCGACTATCCTGACAGGTGATGTCTCGTGCTTTGGTGGAAGACCATAAGAAAGTCGTTTTCCATTGAAATATATTTCTATCAGTATTATATTTGTTATGTTACTGAAAATTGTGTACACCTACGGTCTGCGGTATAAATGCATATTAAACCGATGCAGAACTTGTATTTTCCGGGTTTTTGGTTCCGATAGGAAGGAGTTTTAGTTGCACGCCTGCACTCTGCAACCATAGATATAAACACTATATATGATTATATGATAAATATGGCAACAACAAGCCTTGATGGAAGTAGTATTGACTAGAGCCCTATAAAGAGATCTTTTAGATCTCTCTTTATAGGGCTCTGGTACTGACTGAGAGGCTGGTCACGTGGTAAGAGTAGGTTGTCCTATGAGCAGAGATGACGACACTAAGGGGTGTGACCAGTTTCTGAAGAAAATTGTGGTGCGCGCTGTTAACGGGGCGGCTGTTCAGGTGAAAGGGGCAGACGCCATGTGAGTTTGTGATTTCCACTCATCTGTACAATAAACCTGCAATAATACTGTGCACATTTGTTTCAGAGCCTGCTTCAGACCGTTGAATAACGTTTACACCATCGTTAAAGCTCTGCCAGACTGGAGCTGGACTGAACTAGACTCCCTGAGCGGCT